CACACACACACACACACACACACACACACACACACACACGTGCATGCCAAAGAACCAAGCATCCTTTGCCTTTTGTTTCGCAATAATACTTTGCCTTTAAAAGTACTTCTTGTTATCAGCATGAATCATAACAGTATAGGTTTCTTTCTTTGTAGTCTTTCTGATACTCCCAACTAAACTCCTATATTTTTTCAATTATTAATATTAATAATAGCAATGAATATAACCAGCCACCCAAAATGCCACTTCAAAAGAATCATCATCATGTTTTTGCTGAAAGTGGCGAGTGTAGCTAGTTAACTCCTCTAAAACATCTTTCCAGGCACCTCAATACAAGGAAAAGGGGAGCAAGCTGTGCCACCACTGAGGCTGGTCTCACAGGCAGTGCTGAAAACACACTGCACGCCCACCTTCATCAATCACTCACCAATCTTACTTTGCATCTTGGCCACAAAAGAAAATGGGATTTGTTTCCCTGAAGAAATATGTCGCTGCTCTGCCTGAATTATTAAGCTTTACTGTTACAGAGAGAAACAGTGTCAAGGAAAAAGGGAAGAAAGGGAAAATAAAACTAGAGCCAGGTTGCCATCTACAGTCGGAAGGTAGCATTGCTGGGCCAAGGAGCATTTACTTCACAGAATATCAGTAACTATCAGAGGTTTTTGTTTTTGTTTTTGTTTTAAGCAAAACGTGACAGTAAAATCATAATTATTTTTTAAATATCATAAGAATGTTATACAGATAAGGAACACTGGAATAAATATATGTATATATTTTAACATATACTAGAAAATGATCTTAAATATTCACTCTAACCCTAAAACTTCAGACTTTGAAATAAACCATGTAGCTCTCCTCACTTCAATCCATTTTTAGCAGAGAAGACGGGGGTTTCACCTCTAAAAGCAGCTCCCGTGTGTTTTTACTCTCTACCTTGATTCCCTGCACCCTACACATGACTTTTGCTTAGGATTTCTGTCCTTTCACTTGAGCCCTCTAGAGACCTGAGCACCAAGAAGCACACACTTGGTTCCAATTACTAAAATAGATGGCATCAAAGTAAAAGGCAGCTTTGAGTATAAATGAATACAAAGGCTGAATTAGGGGAGAGACACGTGACATTATAATCTGGAAACCTCTTATAGTCAAGGGCATTTGGGGGAGGTCTTTAAGGAGAAGTTGCTTGGATTTCAGTCATGAAGATAGGAACTGGTACTTAAATTTCCCAAGTGGCAACTTCAGCTACAGAACTGTACCTTTTCTTTCATTTTTTTCATGGAAAACAAATGTTTTTGAAAGTCAAGGTTTGTTTGGGGAGGTCCTCTTGTCTTCCTGTCATAGGAAAATATATGTAAATTCTTCGTCTCAGCCTTCTAAGTCTTCTCAATCAGTAGTGTAGCGCTTGTGTAGAGGAGAGAAACCAGTCCCAAGACCATTGTTTGACAGGAACTCACAGTTTTATAGGGAATAATGGCCTAGAGCTGTTTAAGAACCTGTGGCCCTCACACTACAAAGCTAGCTTGGAAAATACCCACTTAGGATGGAAGGTTATCTGAAGCAACTGCACTTTCTCTGAAGGCCAGGAATGGGCCCTTTCTGATCACAGTATTAAACACTATAGAAATATTGTTGAAGACTCTCCTTGTGAATTTCCTCAAAAGCCAAACATGCTTATCATTCAACTTGCCAACACAGTCTGCTTCCCTGCCAAAGGAATGCTAATCCAATCTTGTGTTCTCCAGTCTGCACAGGGACCACTAGTAAGCCCAACGACTTAAAATGCACATACTGTAAGTAGACATGGGACTCCTGTACACTGACAAGGACCTCAAAGGCAAAAGGCAAATACCATCTTCTCTCTTTAATAAAATAATTTGTTAAAATCTTTAAATGGGTCCAGTTTCTTGGGGTTTAAAGTATTACAGAGACTCAACCATCTTTAATTTCCACAATTTATTTGATCAACATGTATTAAATGCCTATATTCTATTATACCTAGGCTGGCACTGGTAATTTTTTTTAAAAAAGAAGCTAGTTTCAGTAGCTCATGCCAGCACTCAGGAAGATTGTCATGAGATTGAGACCAGCCTGGGCTGTATAGTGAGTTCCTAGTCAACCTGAGCTAGAGTGAAACCTTGTCTCAACAAAACACAGTCCATACATGGTTTAGGAGCCTTCATCCTGACCTCCTTAATGTCTGTCTCTAAACATGATATAACAGGCTATGGGTGTGCAAAGTAGTGAGGAAAAGTCGCAGCATGAGCTCACAATTAGGAGGAAGACAGTGGGACAGTGGGACTTGAAGGAGGAAGTGGACTGCCTAAGGCCAAAAGCAGAAGAAGGATGAGAACCCAGCAAGCCTAACAGCAAGCTAATGACCACAGCAAGATCCTGGGAGGTATGAGCCCTTATTCTTGCTCTTCTCTGGGAAACCAGACATGCATTCATCTTGTGTTTTTTCCTGCTGTAGCCCTGGAGAGTGAACCTAGGCTCTCATGCACATCAGACAAGTGCTCTATTGATGAGCTGGAGCCTCAGCCCCTTCTGTTTTCTGAAGCATGGGTTCACTAAACTCTCCAGTCCAGCCTTGAGCTTGAGATCCTACCTCAAGCCACCAGGCCATCTGATCATTTAGCCTGTTCTTTCAATCTTGGACCACTTGTCTTTCTCTGATTCTTTGCCCATCTGTGTGGCATCCTCTAAACCCTTCCAGAAGCTTCTGCTGCCCTGAATCCCATGTGATCCCTCTTGTCAGATGCAGTTCCCATATGGGGGCTGGGTTTTGTTAATGTCTCAAAACATTCTCCCATCAATCTTCACCCGGAGCATCCCACACTAATCTTATGTGGATGGACCTTGCATAGAGGAGGCAAAGTAATCACTCCACTCCCTGTTTCCAGCCAGCTGCTATCTGACCCAAGGATCTCTTGCCATTTTATGAGCCCATCCTATTGAGAATACACTTGGTGTGAAACCAAATATAGCCCCTCTGCACAAAAAGCTCGTGTGAAAGTTTGCCATTTCTTTGTACTTGTCCTGACCTCAGGACACCCTTGTCTCACACTAATGGATTCTCAGACCAGTGCAAATTGTTGCCTTGATTTTTGAGAACCAGAGGGCCTTGAACACACTATATAGCATAGACTGATCTTAACTTCCTAATTGATCCTCCTGCCTCCACCTCTCAAGTGTTGAGATTACAGGCATGAATTACCATGGCTAACTCAACTTAGAAATTTTAAAATTTTTCTTATAACTAGTTTTTTGTAAGGTTTATGTGTGCCCAGTATTCAACTGGATATCAGAACATCTTTCTAAGAAAGGTGAGTTGTGAATACAAACAAATCACGAGAGCAGACCCTCAACCTACAGAGGTCAGTCAACAGCACTTAGACAAAGTGTAATGTCAGGCAAGCACTGCTGGTGGGTGCACAAGATGGCAATGGTCCCTTTTGTCCTAATAAGACTGCCTTAAACAACAATCTGATCTCAAAGATTCTCATAGCCCAATATCTAATCACAAATAGAAGTTGAGTGTAAGAAATAGCTGCTTCTCCCCCAATTAAAGTCTTCTTTGAACATCGTCTCACATGACAGACAAAAAAAGAATATCCTCTGTAAGCATGGAGAAATGAACATTATCGAGTTAAGAATGAACATTAAGAGGATGGAGAGATGGCTCAGTGGTTAAGAGCTCTTACTACATTCACTCTCAGTTCCCAGCATTTGCAGGCACCTGGGGGTACACACGCGCGCACGCGCGCGAGCGCGTGCACACACACACACACACACACACACACACACACACAATTAAAAGTAAAATATTTTAGAACAAAAAAAAAGAATTACAATAGATACACACCCTTAAAAAATAGTATGAGCAATGCAAAAGACAAACTAACCGTTGCTTAGGATTGCTTGTTGGTAATCCTTCGACTTCACATTTTGCTTCACTTTTGTGGGTTTTTCTGAGTTTGAATCTTTCTTCCCTTTCCTCTTCAGAGGCTGAGGAGATGAGTTATCACTGGAGCCGATGGTTGACTTAGATTGGCGATAATTTCCCTAAATGACAAAAGATTAGACCCTTACTATTGGCTAGTGAACTCTCAAAGGTATTCCCAGTACACACATGTGGTTAACTAGTGATCCCAGGGACAAGGCCCTGCATTAATTTCCAACTGTTGGCCTTGGTACCACACTAGCTACAAGCACGTCTTTCCAGAGGCAGGAGAAGATCTGGCAGAGGAAGAAGACTAAAAATAACCACTCACAATTGGCAAGCAGGTCACAGGTGCCAGACATGCCATAAAAATATTTCCCTTGGGGTTGGGGATGGAGCTCAAACGCACAGAGCTTGTTTAACTCTCGGTGAGGCCAAGATTCCATCACCAGGGCACACATGGAAGAACCAAAACAATTCCTTGGCTGGGGAGATAGATGGCTCAGTTGGTAAAGTATTTGCCCACACAAGCAGGAGAACCAGAGTTCAAATCCTGAAACCAACAGGAAAAGCCAGGCATGGAGGCAGTACTTGTAATCCCAGTCCTGGGCAGAGATCCCTAGAGCTCCACCACCATCCAGCTAGCACATCCAAACTGGTGAGGTTTCCAAGCACTGTCAAAAACAAACAAGTGGTAGGTGTCCCAAGGAACAACACCAGAGGTTGGCCTCTGACGACATGCATAAGATCACACAATTCCCTCATCAGATGAATGTGACTGTTGCACCTGCTTTTATACTGTCACAAGAATGGAGGGGAACATGTGTGAAGTGACTAGAATAGTGCCTCGTGATGAGGGTCTGGTGTTTTCTCCAAGATCAGAGATAATATAGATATAGGTTATATAGATTACAGATATATAAAGTCACATCAGAGATAGGGTTGTGGCTTGATGATTGAGCACTTGCCTCACATGTGCAAGGCCCTGCATTCAATCTCCAGCACTGCAAGAATAAAATAGTTAAGTAAGTAAATAAATAACTCGACCATATTGGGTGCAATCTTTATGCAACATCTGTACTATCTGAAAATAAATGTAATATTAAATAAACAAATCTGCCTGGAAGCCTATTATAACTGCTCATTTTAAACATTTACATATTCAGTCACCCAAAAGCATTTAAATGGTTTTAGCCATCACCCAATTAAGAATAGAAAAAAAACCCACCATCTTACAAATGAAGTTATTTATGCTATTTTGTCACAGCCTACAAGAAAATGAATTATGCATAGATTTATTAACAGTATGAAAACTTGTCCAAATCTATAACATTTTTGCATAATTTAATTTTCCATTCCAACTGCAATTTAGACATCCAGTTTCCATTTAATTATTACATGATCTACAAGCAGAGATTTATTTTTTCTTTCCCTTTTTTCAGTCACTGTCTGGCGAAGAAAGACAGACAGGATGACAGGAGTGGAGCTTCTGAAGCCATTAGCCAAAACCCAGAGTGTAGTCTGCTTCAGTCTACTGATCCCAAGATTTCAACATGGGAAAAACTTGTGTGACAACAGGAACTCTTCACAGACAGCTAGTGCCTTTCTAGGATGTTTGGGAATGCTCTTAAACTTGGAAAGACTCTACAGAAAACCTGGTGAGTAAGGGACTTGGGACCCCAGCAAGGATGGTGTATCTCCTCTCTGGGAAAGCATCACTTACCAGCAATAGGGTGTAGCAAGAAAGAACAGAGACCTCATTGTATAATGTAGGGGTTGCGTTACCTCATTCAGAAAGTGACACTCAGAGGGGTGGTTTAGGGAGTATTAAGAAAGATAGGTTGATGCCCTTTCCTGAACAGAAACAGAAGGGGAGTGGACTGGGGCGGGTGGGAACAGAGGGGGTGGGGGAGGGGCTGGAAGGAGAGGAGGGAGGGGAAACTGTGGCAGGGATATACATAAATAAATTTATTTTTAAAAAAAGAAATATAGGTTGAGCTGGGTAATGGTGACGAATGCCTTTAATCCCATCACTTGGGAGGCAGAGGCAGAAGGGATCTCTGAGTTTGAGGCCAGCCTGGTCTACAGAGTTCCAGGACAGCACAAGACTACACAGAGAAACTCTGTCTCCTCGAAAAAACAACAAAAAAGGAAGAAAGGAGAAAAAAGAAAGAGAGGTTGAAGACTGTGAGATGGCTCAGGGGTAAATGTATTAATGTCACCTTAACAAAGGAAAAGACTTCCTCTTGGGATGTTTAGACCTGAAGCAAGACCAACTAGGAATTCTCTACGGGTCTCCCAGTGTCTTCCAGTTCTCTGTGCTTTGTTTTCTGTGACCTATCTGTTGTCTCTGTGTCCCTGCTGCCTGCCCCTAACTAAGAGCTTTAATCTGTATTTGTTGAACAGCATAGAAAATGTGGTGTGGGAAATGAATGAGGAATACTTTTTTCCAGAAATCTTTAGCAGAGTTTCACAGGGAAGAAGCTACTTTACTGGCCAAGAGTAACACTCTGAACTGCAAACAGACATTATCAACCTATATCCACAAGGTTGTTAAGGGTTGTTCTGCTAAAGGTTGCTTACAACCTGTTTGCTTCTTTTAGCAAATGATAACCACAACACACACACACACACACACACACACACACACACACACACACACCACCAAACA